CCCCAAAACCCCAAAACCCCAAAACCCCAAAACCCCAACAGATAGTGATTTAGTTCGGATCGAGGTAAGTAAATTAATAAAAATGTTTAACGATTTGTTTTGCAAATATCAGACAATAACTACTCAGAGATAGGCTACCACAACACCTATTCCAGTGAAGTAGAAAAATGGTGGCCACACTCATATTTGGGGAGATTATAATTATGACTTTAGCTTCAATACCTAAGGTGAATCTTTATATTAAACAAGCATAGTCTATGCTAATGCCGAGGGAAGCCCTGGCCTTCCGATCCCAATCAAATGCTCATGGTTTAGAATCAAGAATGAACGGACATACTAAATTCCAGAAATATCAAGCAATGTCTATTAGCTGTCAGCCGAGGATATTGGATGCAAGATTAGAATCGAAGCCACTCCCCAAGATGAGGACAGCTATCAAGGCAAAGCTTTTGGAGAGTTTGGACCAATTGAGCTCGATCCATCTGCACGTCAAACTCTTGAATATGTTCTAGGAACTGGTGGATCATAATTCCCTATTTCAGTTTTGCTTCATGGTAGTGATACAAATTTCCACAAGAGAGGTAATTCGAGAAGTCTGAAAGAAAATCAATATGAGTCAGATGAATTGGAATCTATAGAAGCTAATCTCTATGTAAATTCTCACGTCATAAAAATTTGCTTCAATGATTCCTATGGGGGCACTGCAAATGAGGATGCAATTGCTTTAAAATACACAATTGACTATCCAAGAATTGAGTTACATCCTTATGATACTTTCAGATTTAAGATTTTCTACACAGATGATAAAATAGAAGCAAAATATGACTTTAACAAATGTATTGAGGTTAGAGCATTGAGTAGGTAATCAAGAGATCTTATTGCTTTAGCCATAAAGTGCTTCTCTGCTCATACTTACTTCATTAATTCTAAAATTATCTCTAATGTATGATTTTTTGGTTTAACAGTATTTTCCAGTTGAATAAAGATCTAAAGCAAGAAGGTGATAAAACTTAGAAAGAGTCCTTATAGACAACAATTAGTGCTGTACTACTAGAGTTAGAATTTGTGAAAAGGGAACTTTATAATCAAATTAATTTTGCTAAGGATCTTGACAAGGAAAAGTAGCTATTGAAATCAGATATGCGAAAAATGGAGGAGGAAATGCAAATCACAATTGAAAGCTATAAAAACATTTTAGAAAGTTTTGAGTAGAATGACTAAACTGACACAGTAAAGATTAAAAAGGAGATGGTAGCTATGCAAAGGTAAATTGAAGATCTTTAGAGAGATAGACAGAGGGCTATTGATAAGAAAATAGTGGCAGAAGATGAATAAAAGAACTTAAGAGCAAAGGTTGAAGAATACATCAGAATAGAGTCAAGCCTTAGGGAGGAGATTGAAAAGTAAATTTTCAGTTTGAGCTAATTTATTTTATAGTATAAGCAATTAAATGGGAGTACCTAAGCAGGAATATGATAAAGTCAGATAAAACTTGCATTTAAGAGAAAAGGAGATATCTGATCTCCAAAGATAGATAAATGGAATGTAAAATGATCTGAGGCAGTAGCTACAATTAGTAGAGAGATTAAACTCATAGCAAGATTAACTTCAAAAGGAGAGAGATGAAATTTAATAATATTTACAGATGAAAGAGGACGAAGTGGCTTAACAAAGAGTAGAACTTAGAAAGCTAGTTCTTTAATTATAAGAATAATAGTAAATGAATCAGTAACCTGTAATAGATACAGCCCAAGTCTAATAATTAGAATAAAGAATCAAGGATTTGACTGATGAAAATGAATCTTTGCTAGTTCAGAGAAAGACCTTAACCAAAAACAAGGATAGTGTTGTCAAGGATTTGGAAAAGGTAAAGAAAGAATTCAATGAGATGAAAGCAGATTATGAGTAAAATATTCAAAGACTAAAATAAGCAAATGATCGTATGATAGAATAAAATAACTAAAGTGAACTTGAAAAAGATTAAATCATTCAATAGAAGCACCAACTACTGGAAAAGATTGGACATTTAGAGAATTAAATGACTGTTGAAAGAGAATAAAATGAGAAACGAATTTAGGAAATTGAGGAGAGCCATACGAAAGAAGGTCAGAAAAAGAAAATGGGCATTTTTGCTGCGATGCTTGACGATGATGAAGATTCCATAGATATTGAGAAAGTAGATGCTGAGTGTCAAACTTATAGGGTAGAAACAAAAGGTATCAATATTTAGACTGACCCAATCAAAGAGCCAGTTCCAGCTGCTAAGAAAGAGGAGAAGAAGTAAGAGCAATTACCAAGCAATAGGTCAAGCAGAGCCTCTATTGATTAAAAGAGTGCTACTAAGCAAACACCATTAAAACAGTCACGAGTAGCAAACATTACCCTAGATCAATCCTTCTCAAAGAATTAACAGAATATGATCGTAGGAAACAACCAGAATCCTTAACTAGCAAAATCAGTATCACTTCAAGTAGAAAATGCCAAGGAGAAGGAGATAGAAAATAAAAATAAACAGCTGAGTGAGATGTAAAGCAGGATTGATAAAATGGAATCTGAGATGAGTTCTTGGAAACAGGAGAGAAATGCTGAGAAAACTCAATCCATGAAATAAATTAGTGATCTTTCAATGTAGAATCAGATGAATTTAGTTGAGAAGCAAGAAAAAGAAGGTTGTATTATCAGATTAAAGGAATTGATTGAGGACAGAGATTTCCAAATTGAAAATTTGGTCAAAGAAATTGAAAGACTCTCTGGAAGACTCTGCGCAGCTGAAAGCAAGTTATTTGAACTTGAAGCATGATACTATTTTATTCTTGTTTATTATTCAAACATTTGATTTCTTCGAGTTCCTTTTTATTCATCAGTTTGGGGTTTTGGGGTTTTGGGGTTTTGGGG